AAATAATTCTTTAAAAAAAAATATTTTAACACTAAACTCTAAACTCTAATCTTAAACCCCAAACCATTGGGTAAATCATAAACCTTTGGATAAATCTTATAGTGTTTTAAATACATCTTTCTACTTTATATTTAAACCTACATTAAATCACCAATATTTCTTTCTTTATACTACTATCCATCTTTCCAAACAATATTTATTTCTTTATACTACTATCTATGTCTCCAAACAATATACATATTTCTTTATACTCTATCCATGTTTCCAAACAACACAATAATTAATTTTATGTCCAAACAATACAAAATATTAAATCTCACCCTTTTAATAATTTCTCACAATTTTCTTTCAAATTATTTAGATAAATAAAAAAATTCAAATAATATATAAAAAAATGAAATTAAACTTATTTTTACAGGTTTATATATTACATATCAGTTATCCATCGATTCAGTTGGTTAATCTCGGGTTTTAATGATTTTTTAAAAAAATATGCATGATTTTAAAAATCAAAATTGAACTATCAGATCACCGGTTTAACTATGATTCGGGGTGAATTTAAAAATACTGATTTGAATGCAAAAATATTTTAAATACAAAAATTCTTTCAAATTACGAAAAAAATATTAAGTTATTTATGAAATTTTTATCATAAAATATTATGCACTTGCAAAGTTAAGACCAAAATTAAATTTGAATTTGATCTAATATATAAAATAAAGGTTAGGGTCAAAAAATTAGAAATTTGTGTATTATTTTAAGAACATTGGATGAATATTAAAATAAGAAATAACTAAACTCTCAACTTATTTTTTTAACGAAAACAGTTAAATTTGAATTAATTTTGCATTTCAAACAGACGTATAAAATTAGTGTTTCACTGCACGATGACATCTACATATTACACTTCTTGACGCTATAAATACAAAAAACAGTTTTGACATTTTTCTTTAAACATAAAATCGAATTGAACAAACTCAAAACTATATAAAACTAAACTATATAGAATATATCTCAAAAATAAAACCCACGCCGATGTGCCGGTCATGATCTAGTATATATTCCATCCGTTTCAGTTTAGACGTCGTTGTTGAGAAAATAATTTGTTTCAAAATAAGTGTCGTTTTTTATAAATCTAATGTAGAATTTATTGATTTTATCTATTATTATATTTTCTATTGGTTGAAATTTGGTTCGTGTATAGGTAATTTTGTTTTTTCTAGAAAACCATCTGTAAAATTAAATGTTTTCTTAATTTGTGTGTAAAAACTCAAAACGATAACTAAATTGAAACGGAGGGAGTATTATAACACCGAAGATTTCTCACTCTTATATTAATTTATACTAGGATTAAACCCGTCCTACGGGCGGGTGAGCAAATTAAAAATCACAAAATTATATTTTAAATTATTCATATTTAACAAATTTATTGGTGACTGAGAAAAATTCATTTTCAATATTTTTGTTGTTGTTCTAGTTAGAAAGCACATGCTTGTAAATTTTTTAATTAATGTAATTATTATTTTTTATTTCTTGTTATTTTTTTAAATAATAAAAATATTCATAAACTATTTAAATTCAATACATAAATTATTTATTTTCTCTATTTTATACAATTTTGTTTATATTATTAGTTATTTAAAAGTTTTTGTTCTATAAATAGTTAATTTTTTCTCTAGTAGTTGATCTGTGATTTGCATGACTTTGTTTTCTATTAAATATTTTGTTTAACACTTGTTTTTATTTTGAAATATTTTATTATCGTTATATATGAATTATTTTATTTAATTACTATTTGTATCAGTTTCTATTAAAAATTTTTAATGCTTTGATATTCGGTCTTACTCTCGTTGCAAAAACTTAATTTCATAATAAAATTTATTGATATACTTTAGTGAGACTAAGACTATTTTTATTTTGTAATTACAGATTTTTTGGTGCATTTGTCTTATTTTAGATTATATAGTTTGATTTCTATGATTAATTTTGTCTTATTTTATTTAGCATCTTTTTTTGTGTTTTACAAATAGTCTATTTTTAATTTTCATGTCCATATTAAATTTACACTTGAAGATTTTAGGGAATTCATAACATATGATTTCTCTTTTATAACATTTATTTAGATATACAATAATATTTGATCTCTTGTTCATTATTGTTTTATCTGTTATATATTATTTTATGTTTTTCACTAATTGTTATTGAAGTCTTCATTTTAATTATGTATTTTTTTGGCTATAGGTTTTCATTAATTTCTTGTTAACAATTAGATATCAGTTTTTTTATCTCAATGTGTTTTTAGCTGTTAATTTCCCCAAATTAAAAGTTGTAATGAACACACATTGCCTAATACTTATAAGTATAACTTAAGATTTCAATAATATCATATTTATATTTTAGACTAGGTAAGGAATCTGAAAAGTTCAGTAGGTATGTGTCTAATAAATGTTGTTTTCTTAACTAAAGAAGTTTCATTATTGAACCGAATGGAGAAAGGGGCATCCAACATCCGGAAATTGGGGTTGCTGCGCGTTACATCGAAGCTGCTCAACTTGTAGACTGACCATTAGCTGAGAATCTGTCTGAACATGAATTGACGGTTCGCATTAACAGAATCTTGACTAACCGTTATGTTTTTTAGACAATCATAATTGAACCAATCGTCAACAGTGTTAATCAGAAAGGAGATGCTTACATTCTCGTCGATGAATAGCATGTCTAGACTCATGAATTCACCGCCTTTCCTCACATTTCTTGCCTCCCAAAACCTCAGCAAGTGAACCTCGGTGGTGTTGGAGCAGCGTCCGACTTTCAAATCGGCAAGGAGGATGGAATAAATCACCATTGTAGCAATCGAAAAGTTGAACAAATTTTTCTTCTAATGCTCGTCGAAGATGTGCTGTTCATGTTTGCAAAAGAGATATATATACTCACACCTCTACATGGTTATTTTCGGGATGCGATAAGGTGGTTTTAATGATCCAGAGTGGATTAATCATTTATAAAATAGGAAGAAATAAGGTGCGAATCAAGCGTGCGCCGAGACATTACGGAGAGTTGATAATTTATTCTGATATCTACAACTCTCGTCGGCTGATCTAGGGATTTCAAACGAAGATGACGAACAAACCTATAATAATAAAGGACTTCTATAATCCAAAGTTTAAACGCAATCTACAACAATAAAAACCCAAAATAAATAAGCATTCTACCAATAATATAATTTTTTTTTAAATAATAAAAAATTCTAAAGCCCAACAAATAATTTCTTAAAATTTAATGAAGTGACACATGACATTTCCCACTTCCCCCATAGAGAAAAAAACTAACTTTATTATATAAGATATTTTCTTGATTATTTGGTTGGTAAAACATATAAAGAAAGTCGTGAATCACGCTACATCAATACCATTAGACGAGATCATTCATTTAATGAAATATTTTTGTTTTCCAAAATTACCTTTAATGTTATGAACAAATTAAAATTTCCATTAATGGCATTAATGTCTTTTGTTTTGGGCCTAAAAACTATATAATTAAGTACAAATAATATCTATTTAATGGGTTTGTTAATGAGACAATATCTTATTCAGTTTTTTATTTATATTTTTATCAATCAAAAATAAAACCATTTTGTTATTCAGATCAATCAAAATCAATAATAAAAACATTTTCGTGAGAAAAACTAAAAATAATAATAATAATAATAAAGTAAATATTGATTAAAAATACTGGAATGGAAAATGAATATGACCATATAAATCATTAATGATTTCAAATGTATGCATAAGACATTTTTAATCTATACTATTAAATTTTTACCCATGCCAATAAATTTATTATAATAAGTTATAAATAATAAAAGGCAAGAAATCATTATTAAAAATGTGTTATTATTCTCACATAGCTGTCTTTTCAGATTAAAATAATGCAGATTTATAATAATAAAACATTTGACTCAAACTGTTTTTAAAAATATTTTAGGATAGATACTATTGATAAAAATTTTAAATAAATGAGTAATAATTTGTTCTATATTTATGTAGTTTGATAGTTAATATACTTACAAATAAATTTAATAACATTTGTTAATAGTATAGATACCTTTAATTTTCGAATAGATTTTGACAACTTACAAATAAAGCAAATTTGTAATCAAATGTTATGTACAAAAATATTTATTCTTATCCAAGTCAAATATTTATTAATATATCAAAAAATAGATCACTAAGTCTCATTCGGATATAAAAATTCAATGAAAACATTATACCAAACCGAAATAATAATAATAGAACAGCTCTTAAATATTATAGATATATAATAATAGTTATAAAATCATTTAATATTTGGCTTTACAGTCAACAAAATAATATTCACGTTTTTAAAAACTCTCTTCATACCCGCATAAATGAAACTTGATTTTGATCATATAACATTTTATATCATCAAAATAAAAAATTTATTTATTTATTTGTAGATAAAACAATAAAAATAGTATCCACGCTTAAAAAGCGTGGATTACATTTTTAAAATGTTATACGGACAGCTCAAGATAGTCTTGTGATAGTAGTATTTTTTATCACATAAAATTGAAGACACTTTAATGGTCTTCTTGTAACTCGATGCAGGTTTTCTTAAATTATCCCCTATACTGATGACAGCTAACACGTATAATTTTCAGTTTTTTTTTTAATACTATCCTTTAGATATTTTCATTCACAAAATTCATAAAAGTCGTTAGTTTGATTATATTGATTATACTAATCAGCATACAAAGTTTATAAGGTACTTATCCCACGTAATCATCTAGTTCGTAAGTATCAGGCCAGTATACTGTTATTGTTAATCAGAAGTTAATAATACATACTAAGAAAACATGTGAAAACCTGACTATACATAGTAAAGAATTCGGTGAATTTGACGTTGATTTTATCGAAAGGTTTGGACTGAATACAATGTTATTGCGAGCCAAGCTTCATTCTGATCCACCACCTTCGAGTTCAACTAGAAGCAATTTGATTCTGATTCATAAACAATATATCTTACTAGTAAAAAAGTGGTAGCAACTAATGAAAAAGGTAAGTAAAATGTTCAAAATGTAAACATGGTAACAAAAACTTACAGCTGGGTTGGTGAAGATGATCAACTGTTTATCTTCAGTAGAAACTAAGAGGTTCGTGTTGTCTATGTTCAGAGCCATTGCTGTTATATTCTGCCCTTTACCAAGCTTCATCACATGGAATACCTACACAAGAAGAAGAGTTTCTTGTTTCTTAGTCAAGTTATCCTTCAACATCAAGAACCATCTAAGGCCTTTGAATAATATAGTAATACAGTCTTGAATATATTCAAGTAAAACATTAACATTAGACCCTAAAATTTTCCCAGTTAATATATATAAATATCCCAAATTCTTTTAAGAAAATTTGGACTAAAACTCTTACTAAATTGCTTAAAGCTCCAAAATCTCAAGGCCTGTCCTGGTAAAATACCTTGAGAGTGTATAAGTTGAGGAAGCATATTGAAGGAGATGGAACGTCCAGTATGTTAATTGTATTGGCTCCACATGATGAATCTTCTTCACCAGTGTAGGACAACGAGTTCACGCCAATCACAACATTCTGGCTATCCATGGATAGTTCCATGCAGCTTATAGTACAAGATGAAGTAAGTTTCGCTTTTGAGATGAGAACACCATTGATGGTAAACGAGCTGATAGTACTTTCTGATCTACTCCAAACCACTATAACTCCAGCAGAAGAGATGCAGAGAACATGAGCCTTGACGCCAATAAGCCGTCTTATTAGTCGACCTTTTCTTATGGAATGCACTAGAACATCCGGTGATTCAGAGGAAGAAACAACTATTCCATGATCTGAGCTAACACAGCAACATGTTACTTCTCTTAAGTGGCCATGGAGCACTTGTATAGGCCCTTCAATGCGACGCTTTTTAGCTTTGTTCGCCAAAGTGTTGTTTGCGGAGGAAGGTGTCTCAGAGCTTTTTGTCTGTTGGGACTCACTTGTCTTAGAAGTGAGTCCCTTGTGAAACCTCCACATCAAAAGAGTTGTATCTCTTGAACCTGTCACAAGAAAGTTACTGTCTGGAGACAAAGCTAGACATGTTACAGGAGCACAGTGACCAAAAGCTGTTTCTAGTGTTTTGGCTCCATCAGATGAGACTAGCTTGATGCTATTATCCACATGTCCACCTAAGTCACATAGAATTTTATTAAAGGAAAATCTCTAAAATAGAAAATATTAAAAAATTATTACAAAAAAATAGCACTTAATGATAAAAAAAAAAATCACAAAATAGCACTTATTTGACAAAGAAAAAAACTAATTTACTCTAACTCCTAAAACTTAATCTTAACTCCACCCCTAAATAATAAACCGTAAATTCTAATCACTAAACCTTAACCAAATATAATTTGTTTTTCTTAACTTTTGATAATATTATCTTTGGAAATTTCTATCAGAATGCTAATTTAGTAATAAGAACATAATTTAGTACTATTCAGGAGTATTTCTCTTTTATTAATCATCAAACCTTCACAACAGAGATCATAGGCTCAAAAACATGCTTACCAGTGATAATCTCTCCGTCGCTTGTAATAGCAGTGACAGACGAACTTCTGACACCTGATGATCCAAAAGCCTGTGCTTGAGGATATTCAGAATCACCCTTGAACATGCGTATCAACGTAACGCCAGTTGAAGCCTCCTTTGCGTGATGAAATATGAAAGGAGTACTCTGACCATCAGGTGTGTTTGGTTGCCACTTGTGCTGTGCAATATGTGCCGCAGGACCATTCATGTCAACGACCACAACGTTATCAGAAGATGCCTTGATAGCTGCGGCTGGTAAGTTGCAGTGCTCTGGAGCTGTAACTGGATACGGTTTTATCTCTTTTGGATTCCTAAAGATTGTCTGCATGTGAAGGACATCTTTCAGAGGCATTCTTTTGACGTGAGGCAAAGTCAAAAGCTGGGAAGGTGTCTGTCCAAAGTAAGCTATCTTGTCCTGAATAGCTCGTTGTTGTACCTTCAAGAAGTATCCAACAGGCAAGTCATGGAAACAGAGTAATACCAAAAACAAGAGCAACTTCATTAGTGTAACAAAAAAAATTAACGTACAGGATCCTTGATCTTGTCAATATCAACAGTCCCTTCGTATGTAGTGTAGAAGAAAACATTATTTGACATTATAGCTTCCTTACCACGTTGCTTATACCTAAAATGAATAAATTGATAAGAAGCAATCAAAATTTTCTAGCACAAGGAGGAAACATACCCGAAAATGAGATCAATCCATTCATGCAAATGTGCAGAGACATGATCACTCTCAAGAGCCATTCGTTGCTTGTGTACAAAGTCAACAGGGGTTTTAGCCCAAGGAGGAAGTTTTACAGTACCAAGCTTTGTATGATTCTCGTTGGTCAACACCTCTGGAAGGTAAAACAACTCTGGAACCTACAAAATAATCCACGAATATTAAAAAAAAGAATAGAGGATTAAGATATTCGTTTAATCTTACCAGCTCTTTCACATTATTCATGTCTTGGAGGACTCCTTTCCAGGTGGCTGCAATGTCTGAAAACATTTTGTCCGCCTGATCGAACTTTCCACCGTGCAGTTGAACTGAAAGTGTTGTAAAAGGTTCTACTCTAGCTAGATAATGCAACACCTACCACATGAGATAAACAAAATGGTAAACCAAGTGCATGGAGCATCATATACACTGTATCATATAGAAGATAACCTACTGCTCCAGCATTTGAGTAATGTGAATCATAGTGGAACTTGGGGATGACTGGATCTTCAAAGTTCGAATATTGTTCTTGAAATTTCTTTAACCGCTCTGGGTTCAATGCACCAATTGGCTGAACATATACAAACCCACATTACAACCAGTTTTCTAGCTAAAATGGACTATTACATGCAGTCAAAGAGCCAAAACTACAAGTAATACCACCTTGGAAAGATCTCTAAAGCTAGATGGATTTGTAAGGTCCAAGACTTCTGATATATAGTCAGACAGAATCCATGGGAAAACAGGATACTGCAAAGATAACCAAAATAGAAGATGTAAAAAAACTTCACATAAGTTAAAAGCATTCTCACTACAACAAGACTTTTACCTGTGTGATGTCATTATAACTACGTCCAGCCAACGTGTTAAGCTGCATTAAGTACTCAAAGTTGCTGATCTGCAAAAAGGATGCAGCTTATAACAGCATAAAGGCTTACTCGAGATGTTATAGTGGAAAAATGAAATAACATGAAGTACCTCCCATTTAGCCCATCGTTCCATTAACTGAGTTCTTCTCAAAAGTTGTTCTGGCCTCTACAAAGTAAACCATTTATTAAATTTTGCAGCACAGAGAGAACATCTAAGGTGCACAAAACACACAAACCTGAGTTGTCAGGTAAATATTGTTTAAATGTGGAGGCCGTGCTTGAACAATAGTCCTATATGCATTACTTCTTCCCTCAGTGTTCTATGTGTTCAGAAAATTACTAGAGGTTAGAGGAGGTAAGAAAACAACAAAGATATGAATATAATGTAGCAGAGAGATTTTTTCAGATACCCCAAAGTCAAAAAAGAAGTTTGACCGATCAACCATAAATATTTCCAAAGCACTCTTTCTCAGTTTATATCTGTATATTCAAGAAGTAGAAGGTGTGAAATAGTGAGCTACATAGATACAGACACTGATGATGAAACTTTACCTTCGGCTATAAATCTGATGAAGAGAAGACATTAACCAACTACGATCTCTTTCTTGGTCTCTTGATTCTGAACCATCTGACTTACTATCCACATCTTGGCCCTCATTCATGTCAAGAAGAAAATTTATTCTCCTTGTTGTAATCTGAGAAAGGCACAAGACACTCATCAGAAACAAATCATTTATACAAGGAAACAGGAGACAACCATTCACATGCTATGTTCTGTCTCTTGGTGTCAGTTATACTGTTAGTTGAGCATATATACCTGAAAGGTTCCTTTCACAACCCTTAATGGTCGAACCATAGAAGAGGAAACTTCAAGAACGATCCTTTCATCAAGTTCCTTGAGAACTACTTCTCTAGAATTTTGAACCACGTCCTGGTCACTCAATGGTCTAGGATCACTAATACCAGTTGACAGTTCTATTGCATCCTCAAGTGAACCAGACATCCTCTCTTCATTCTTCCCTTTGTGTTCTCCAACACTTTCAAGATCATCTTCATCTTTATGTTCATCATCTTCATATATTGATATTGCTTTAGCAGCAAAAAAAGTTGCATTTGATGGAGAACTCAAGTTATCGTCTGTCCGATCATCATAGTTTACAGCTGTCTCATGATGATCAGTACCAGTGTAATACCTCTTTAAACACTGTCTCATCCTCGAAGAACTTTCCATAGAATTCAGTTTCCAAAAAACCTACATATGTGATGGTGTTTATTACATCACTGGGGAAATCCTCAAAATGTTTCATATTTAGACCATGCTTACATGTTTTGGACTACATATATGGTCTCCAAAGGGTCCAAAGAAGCATTTCATCTCTACCAAGTAACGTACTAGTTTGCGCCAACCACGTACTCCCATGCATAAGCGGTTCCTCACTATATTATCATCTCGTATACGCCTGTCAATCTAGTGAGTAGTTGAATATGGATTAGAGATTATAGTGAGAAAACAACAAAGTGTGGAAAGGGCATTGTCTAACCTCAGATCTCTGCATGTTACGTGCTAAAGCAAAGCTTGCAACAAGTACAGCAATGAACTTATAGGACAAAGCATTAAAGTCTTTTCCATAAACTGATTTTGTATCCACTGGCTGGAGACATTCCATCCATGCTACTCCCATAGCTTCAGAGATATTCCATCTCTGTAAACGCTCCATATCACTTATAGTCCTCCTCTGAGAAGATGTGGCCATTGCAACAGCACTTAGACCTCTCCCCGTACCAATCTTGGAACTACGTTCAAGATCACGTGCTGCAGCCAGAGCAGCCGCTTTTGCAGCAGCCTTATCTCTTGGTCGGCTTGGTGTGCCATAATCCTTTGGAGCCTGCAAAGGGTTCTGGAAGCTGGAAAAGCTCTGAAGTTTGGCACTCTTGCGCTCAAGCAGAGAAGTGTCTCGCCTAAGAGCTGGAGCTGCTGGTGGTGCTGGAGGTGGTGGAGCTTCCCAACCAGCTGTCCCTGCGGCTATCATGGCCAGTGCCATTGCAGAAGGAGGGGAGGCAAAAGCAGCTGCCCATTCCGGAGATATCATAGAGAGAGCCGCCTAGGATACAAAGCAAAAACAGCACAGTTCATTAACACACAATAAACTTGAAACAAACCTTATGGTATATAAAAGATAATGAAACCTCAATGGGGGATGCATCAGCAGCCAAGGCACGATCATCGACGACAAGAGGATTCAAACCATCAGCAGTGGAAAGTTCATGAATGTTAGCTAAAAGAGGTCGCCACCTTCTGAGAATTGCAACAAATGGTGGTAATATAGCTTCTAGATACTGCTTACGTAGTGGCCTTTTGTCTCTGCTCACAGCATGCCATACCTGCAAACACACTTGGAATCAGAAAGTGAAAAAAAAAGATGCAAAATGAGCATCAGATTCACACAAATTTTTTGAAAAATGTAGAGAACGAACCTCAGAATATAGAACACATGTAGTAACCAATACTCTCTGCCTCTTTGAGTTAGAGATTGGCATGTTTAGGAAAGGAGATAGAACACTGAAGATCAAAAACCAAGACATTTTAACTTCTCTAGATAAACTTGAGTGAGCAACAAGATCAGTTGACATTTTCAATATTTTACCTCCACAATAAAGCTGATGGTGATATCTGAGAACTGATATTTAATGAGACAGGAGAACCATCTTCAGAACTTAAATTTTTCATCAACAGACTATCTTCACCATGGTCTTCTTCCCTCAAAGACAAGAGCACCATTCTAAGCATGCATAAGAAAGGCTGATCACTATCCAGCAACTGGTATAGAGCTGACATTCCTCCCATCCCAGTACCAGATCCTCCACCAATTCCTAACCCGCCCCCAAGTCCAGAATCATCAAGCAGCAATGCTTGAAGCATGGATACTGATTTTTTCACCAATGGAAGTTCAATCCAGTTTCCATGAGCATCTTTTTGTAAAGAACCTTTCCAAGAGTCCCAACCACTTCCACCACCACCAAAACAAGTTGTTTTAGGAAGTCCAACACCATACCACAATCTACTCCTGTACTTCCAACCCTCAGCCAAGTCCATGGTGCAGCTTCCATATGATACAAAGGCACATGAAACAGATTCATAGGGCTCAGCTGCAGCTGCAGCAGCAAGACGCTCCATTACTTCTGTAGATAGTTGGCCAGTTGCATCGGCCATTGAAGCAAGTATCTGAAGAAAAGTAAAGTGAGCGACCTTAACAGATAATGGTTGCAAAGTAATATCCACTTACATCTAGATGGACCCCTCCTGAATCACTGGAAATTGAAGCACGGCTGCTTGAAACCTCTGATGATTCTCCCACGGTTGTCAATGTGTATGGACGGTTGTTAATGGGATAAACAAGAGAAAGAGGAGATGGAGAAACATCAATTGCGTTTGCAGCACAGGTATGTTTGCTTTGTAGTCTTAAATGATCTTCCACAAGCATCAAAATCACAATTGTGTTTTCCACTAGAAACACTGACAGCTGAGCAGCGTTTTCTACTCCAGCTTTTGCATCTTTTGGTGCTAGACTCTCTGCCGCGAAACCAGCAGATGCTGCAGCGATTACTTGAGTCTGTTGAGGGGAAAGAACAATGTGTAGGTCAAGCTATAGCTGACACATAGTGTAACAAGACAAGTGAAAACGCACAATGCTTCAAATGAAAACAGGAGTTACCTGAGCTTGTAGTTCTGTGGCAGCAAAGTCAAGCAATCCACCAAGAAGCCTTCTTTTGAAAATAGGCAATGATTCCTCACGCCTGAAAAAGTTAGGAGAACAAAAAAAAAGTGTAAAAAAAATTTGAACAGAACACATATATAGGAAGAATAAATGCAGTACAGAAAGAAAAAGAGTGTAAACTGTGGTGCATGAAACTACCTAATTCGTTTCTGTCCAGTGCTAGACCCTCCAACAATAGAGAGCCATTCTGCACAATGAGTTGTAGCCTCAATATCCTGTAAAAGGAATGAGAAAAAATATAACTGAGCTTGGAAAAAAATGTGTAAATAATATAATCTGGTAAAGAGCTGAAACAGAAAAAAAAATATTTACCTTCCAACCATCTTTCTGGCGCATTGAATGTTCCAACATTATGATCAAGAAGTTATGGATCATATCTTCCACCTCAGTAGAACCAGGTGAAGCAGATTGTTTCCCTGCATCTCTCTGTGTGTGTACATACAGTAGTCAGCATATAAAAAGATCTTGTTGGTACAATAACCGAGGGAAAAATTCATAAGTGTTACACTCAGAGTCCTACCTCGTAGTTTGAGATCAACATCTCCAAGATCCACTCAGGCCACTCATCCATTTTTGTCAGACTGCTCCTGTTTTCCGGATGGCTACAAGCCAAAAATCGAAGATCCTGACATAGAAAGAGTGAGTTCAGAAAGAGACAAAACTAACTGCACAAAAGTATGTTTAGCTATGGACATTCATACCTGAAGTGCTCGTTTTTGTAGAGCCTTAGATGCAAATGGTAAAGAACGGAGGAGGATTAACAGAAGTTGAGGGTGTTCAAAGCGATGACCCAAATCATAAAAGTTCAGGCCATCCTCAGTTGATAAAGCATTAATCTGCAAGAAAAAATGATCATTACAGGTTAGCCAGACCAAATATAATTACTTGAAGCCAGACCAAATAGGACATACCGAGGCCCCAAGCAGAGTTGTATAGACATTCTCAGTCATCAGCCTATTTGGAGCTGCTTGAAATGCTTTCAAAAGAGCAAATAGAAGCAATGATACTTTATCGTCAAACATTGTTCCACCACTTTCATGAATCCCATGACCCATGAGGTTACTCATAACATCAGACTTGGAACCAAGAGAAGATTTTAAGTGCCCGTTTGTAATCAATGCACCTATCAATCTAATGATCCCAACTACAACACGGTCACTGTCATCAATGTTTCTTGTATTGATCCTTGTCTTATTACTGAATGGATTTTCAAAAACAGAGGATGTAGTTCTGTCAATATTCATGGAAATAGGGCTTGTAACTGAGTCACTATCACAAATGACACTGGCAGATCCTTGTTGAACTGACTCTGTGTCCTTCGAAGATTCTACATTACTATCATGAGCACGAGGGTCTTGTGGAACTGAATCCAACTGCTTTACTACACCAGGCCCATTGTGATGACTTTGTTCACTAGGATTAGTCGCCACACTTGTTCTATCCCTAGCCACAGATTCTACAACGTTGTCATCACCTGTTTTAGCTTCTCTCTGCAGCAGAACAAGAAGTGTTTCTATCCCACCAGAAGTTATAAATACCTCTGCAAATGTATGAGCCTTTGCAGCATTTGGCTGTACAACCAACCTAAACATGAGATGCAATACCCTTGCCACCTATAAATGAGGAAACAACAAAACAATGTCAGAGAAATAACATATGTTTTAATAGTTAATGTAACATGTTACCTGATTTGGCTGTGGACTATCTACTATGAAGCCAAGTAACTGATGAACATCAGCAGAAGCAAAAGAAGAAGATGCTGCTCCCATTAGGAGTTCAATAATAACCAAAAGCTCATCAACCAAGGCATTAACTTCCCCCATATGACGCACATCATCCCCATCTGGAGAAAAAGTGTTCACAGATTCTTTCTCATGAATCATCCAGTAACATCTCCTACATCCGTCAAGAAGTATCTGAATAGCATCAGCATTCCTCATAGCTGCCGCTTCAGTGAAGACCATATCTTGAAGAGATGACAAGAGCTTCTTCTGAAGTCTGTAATTGCACACACTCCATATCTTTAGATCCAATAGTAGTGTCCGCAAAAGCTGCACTTTGAGTGCATGGTTTATTTTCTGAGATTGACAAACCGAAACAATCGAAGCAACTATCTCCTCATCTTCTACTCCATCAGGGTTGAGATCAAGTGATGAGAGTGACTGAAGAAGATATCCTAGGATTGTGGCTAGAATCTCAGGGCCTCGAGTACGAGACAACTCTTCATTGTTCCCAGGATGTTGAATAGCAACTGAGATGATTCTAAAGATAGATGCAGCAAGAGAGTATGTTGTCAAAGACAATGGAAGATTACTAGAAGATGGCTCAAGAGTATCTTTGCACACATTGCTAACGGTTATTGGAAGTAAAGACATGGGTCCTCCATAAGCTAAGGCCCAGAAAGACTCCACTGACTTCACTCTGGTTGCAACATGGACTTGCCCAATTACCTCAGCTGGTCGTCTTAAAGTACCTTAACCAATAACAATAACAAAAAAAAACAAAAAACAAATATTTTTTCAATATTATAGAATACTAGGTGTTTCTCCCGTTATGTTATGCACCAATATAAATATTTTAGTATATACTATAAATGGTCATAGTTATATAGATTCAAGAGGATAATCAGAGGTACCTGCTGCTCCAGACAGAGAAGCATCTGGACAGAACCGACCACTCAGTAGACATGGGTGATAAAGTAAGTGAATGTACACTCCAAGCTCTGAATCCAAAAGACTGCTTTCCTCTGCCGCATTACGGACATGGTCATTTGTAGCTAACCATGGAAGACCTGCCCCATTGCCAAAACAAGGCAAAACATCACCACCTCTTGATGCTAATCTTGTCATTCTTTCAGGACCAATGGGTTCTTTAAATATATAAACTGGTCCCATCTCAGCAAACAAAGCACACTGACGCCGACGACGGTCAGAAGATGTAGTAGGAGGAGGAGGGTTTGACCCAATGCAACAAGAAGAAAGTGGTTTAGATATACGAGGAAACTCAAAAGGAAGAGTCTCATACAAGGAACCGTCAATATACAGACGCAGTTCACTCTCTGAGTTCCCTAAGTGGCCTTTGCATGTATGTTCAAGGCCAATGAAGTACCAACACTGAGGCTTAAACGCATGAGTGAAATGAAGTGAAGCTTTGTTTCCTCTCCCACTACCACTCTCAACTACTAAAAACTGTGCATAGAAGTACACTTCGATTCCTTGGTTATTATCAGGAGTCAAGAAGCTGAAGAGACGTGGCATATGAGCAGTACCTTCACCACCATGTACATTAGCAGCAGCTGAAGTCTTACCTGATTTAGCAGCTGAAGCTGCAGCTATGGCCGCTGCTGCGGTTGAAGCGTTTAGTGTGTCAGCAAATGATTCAATATAAATCCAAGTAGCAAATGCATAGCCGTTTGTGAAAGGCCAACGAGTTTCTCCAGGACCAAGTAGCCCTGAGCTTTCACCAACGAACTCAAAGCTACATGAAGGTCCTCTTGATTCATTCCCACTCATTGCCTCCTCCAAAGCATCCATCAAGGGGCTTGACCACACTGTTGTAAGAGATGCTTTAATAACATGAAGCCATCTATGCAAATCTTCAACGCTAAGTGAGTGTCCAGCTAAGTGTTGAACACAGTGCAACAAAGCTGATGCATTCCACTTCATATTGCTATCCTTGGAGAGTATCTCCTCTACTGATCCCAAGAGAACACTTAACAGTCCTGCCATCGAACACATAGCTCTGTTCCTCGTGCAAGAACGTAATATCGCAAGCAAGCCTCGCACCATGCGTGTCCTAGGAGACATGAAGCCGACATTGTCACCAGAACAAGGAAGGTTAGGGATAAGCTCGCCAGAAACAATGGCTGCACGAGAGTTGAGCATCACGCTAGGTGGGTTGCTATCTTCATCCTCTTCAAAGCTCTCAACGCCACCCATGGTAGAAAGAAGAGAATCAATAACAAGGAAAGCAATAGTCTCTGCATCATCTCCAGACACAAAACTTTCAACACCGGTGACAAGGTTTTTTAGCTTGTCTAAGCTTTCAGGCTTGCCCATGATGGCAGAATCAACAAGATGCAACAACTCTGGAGAAACGTTTTGCATTGTATCCTTTGGATTGGGTCTATGTGGGGACTGAACCGGAGGATCTAGACTTGTTGATGAAAGAGACGTTTCTTCTTTTAGAGAAACTTGTTCGAAGTTGTCATCGTTAAGAACTGCGTCAACTAAACTAGTCCCTTGCAGATCTTCATCATTAGCATCTTCATTAACAATAAAGCTAGGGTTCCCTATATCAAATGCATCTAATCTGTTCTCAACATTAGAATCTTTGGAGAGTTTCTTTTCTTCGTCTTCTTCCATATTGAAGTGCTTATAGAGAACCTACGAAAACAGATATCTCACTCACCACCTGTATAACAGCAAACGATTAATAAGAAATGGAAAATGAGCACTGACGTAAGGAACAAGGAAACCAAAATGAATATAAATAATTAGGGCACGCATGAAAGAACAAAACTACATCCAGTTGATGGTTCCGCTTCCGACAATAAGAAAGCTACAGAACAGTCAAACACGAGATCTTGTCGTAGACATGTCGAAACAAAACAAAAACAAAAAGTAAATGGGAAGTAACTGAGATTGGTAACCTTGTATATTGTAGAATCGGATCTGATCGGCGACTGGAAGGAACGACGATGCGAGAGGAGGAGCAATGATCGGAGAGAGGTGCGCCCGAGAAAGAAGGACTAATATTTGATTTAGCAATTTCCCACCCATTAAGAAAGTTACGATGGTAAATTTTGCTTCCTCCTGCCTCTGCTCTAGACCTCTCAATTGAAACTCACAACGACACCGTTTTGAGAACATCCAACCGGTGAATATGTCCTGATCCGATAGGATTGTGAGTAATGGGATTTCATTTCTATATATGGGACTAGGGTGCGCGGAATGCTCACTTCAAGGCCTTGATTGGTATCACAGATGATAAAACAGTAGCAGTATGCAGCAGGAGCAGTATGCTATATTAATTAAAATGTAATTATGTGATTGATAAAGCTGTAGCATTTAAGATATCAAATTACCAAAATAGACATAATAATAATTAAAAAAAAAACTAATGAAAACAAAGAGAAAAATCACTTAAACATTTTTCCAACCAGTATAAAAATCATATGAAAACAAGGTCAACTAAAATAATTATCGAGCAACCCAAATACTTTCTGCAATGGAGTCACGAACTCCTGTCATGTAAACATCTCCTGTGGGTTCATAACGAGTGAGTTCAACTTCATGTAAATCTTCTGGATTTGGCGGATTCGGTTCTTGTTCTTCCATCCCTTCATACTTATCAAAAGCATCATCTTTTGTGGCTGACTCACGTATAAAGTTATGAAGTGCCATCGTCGCAACAACAATTTTGCATTGTGTTGGTAGATTATACCGTGCCTCATTTTTCAGAATTCGCCATTTTGCCTTCCACACACCAAAAGTACGTTCAATCACTGAACGTATAGATGAATGGTGTTTGTTAAACCACTCACTCGCACTATTAGGTGGTCTATCACCCCACTGATGCGGATGATATCTAGTTCTACGATATGGAGCTAAGTAACCTTTTCTGTTTGGATATCCAGAATCAACAACAAACTACTTGCCTTCAGGAGGTGTCGGAAAAAATGTATCACTTTGTGCACAATAAGTAAGAACTTTCGTATCATGTGCTCTGCCTGGAGTTCCAACGTATGCATATATAAACTTCATATCCAAATTGCAAATCGCAAGCACATTCATCGAAGCAAATTGCTTTCTCACATTCCAAAATCTCTCTTTTTGATCACTTTTAACCCTTACTGACACATGGGTACCATCAAGAGCTCCGATACAATCACGGAAATGAGGCCAATAACTCTTATTAGAAAACAGACGGTTGTTAGTCTGCTGAAATTCATCATCACCAGGTTTTAAAATATCCATGGAGAGAAGAAGGACAGCATCTAGTACCTCCATAAACTTTCTATTCACTGTTTCTTGGCTACGTTGGAAGTTTTTAGCAATTTCTCGTTGTACTTCATCATGTCCAAGTGTTTCCAGAAACATTCCTACTGCCTCTTCCAATGAGCACTCACGTGACTCCTTGAGTTGATAGTTATTCTTCAAAGTAGCACATAAACGTATGAAAGTGTCTTGATTCATTCTCACTGTTTCATAACACTCCCTGCCAGAACCGTTAATCATTTGCATTGTATGACGCAATCCACGACCTCGGTCTGTTCTCACCAATTGTCTATCACAGTATGGATCAGGTTGTTCGCTTTGGACCAATAACCGAATTACTGAAAGTACGTTTCTGTTGCATTCCATGGCAACATCCTGCAAAACAAATAAAATATATATATAAGTGGAATTCTCATACACGTTACCAAAAGTAAACCACATGTAATCCAAAAGCAAACAAAAGAATTGATCAAACTCACGTAAAACTCATATAAATAAATAAAAAACAAATTATAATTCCAAGAATAAAACCTAAGTCACGTGGATCAAAAAGCACCAGTCCAAAAACATAAAAAAAAATATAAATCTTAGTTCTTTTTCCCAGTAGCCCTTTCTAGATATTTTATTTTTTGTTGCTCATTTGGTAACGTCATAAATAATCAAGAGCCGCCCAGTATAGCTCGCTTTCCTGATCTAATGTTGTCATCTTCAGTAACTCCTCTGTGCATATAGCAGTATTAAATGGGTTGAAGGAGTCAAATGTTTTTCGACCTGCTGACCAAAACTTCTCTTGATTTTCTAAAGTACTTGTGATACGATCTCAGTGATCTGAGTTGGGTCTTTTCCGGGAAGTTTTTGATTTGGAAGGTTTTTCTTCATGTACTCTTTTGTGAGTCTTTTGGTTATCGGCAGGCCTACTCGGTGGAGATGATATCTCATCAGCTTCTTCTTCCTCGGATTCTATTTGTTGAGGCAATTGGCTTGTTCCTTGTTGATGCTGCCACCCTTCGCTGACAGAGATTGTAACCTTATGGTATAAAGAATCAAGGAGTGGAATATCACGTAAAGGATGAACACGAAGTTTTGCAGCTTCTGGACACATCTACAATGAACAAATTCAAACTATAAATTAAAGAAAAAAAATTGTAAAATAATAAAAGATGTATTTACACATTAGCTTGAAAAATACCTTAATCAACTGATCCCACCAATCAGTGCTCATATCAATCTCACCAAATTGAGTAAACCCCAACCCGGTCGCATTTTTTGTTACGCGCTTATATATATCATACTGCCTACGTAAATGTTCAAGACGACTTTTAACCTTACCCCAAGGTTGGTCAAAACCAAACTTTGTAGAAAGTCTTGCTCGAATGTTTTGTCTTCCCATCTCATTAAAACAAGTTCCTTTCCAATATCCCTTATCTTTTTCACCATTAGCTAATACTAACATCTCATGACTCATTTCATGTGTCCAAAAAAATTTTGGCTAAAAATCCAAAAAACAAATAAATCTATAAAATTATAAACAATACAGCATTCTGACAAAATAATGTAAATTAATGTTTGTATGTATTCATACCTTGACCATGGGTTGGGTAAGATCTTGTGGACTCGACATTTTTCTGTTTTTGATAAGTTACACAAATACTAGAGTATATAAGTATGTTTTCAAAATAGAAAAAAGAATGAAAACTTGACGGATTCATTATCAACACCATTATATAGAGCATAGAGCATGAAAGACCATGTAAACAGTAGCTTTAAAAAAAAACATGTGCGTAGTTCTACGTTATACAAGTAATATATGGGCACAACATTAAAGATAAATATTATTCTACAATATGAAAATTCCTACACCTATACGTGTGTTGAAAACACAAACTTTCGAGAAGATCAAAAAACACATACCTTTGCTTTGAATTGCCGACGTCTTTCACTACAAGAAAACAAAGCATTTACTAGGAAATTTTACTAGGAAAATTCTTCCTCGTAAAGTTACTAAGCCTTTACTAGGATCTTACGAGGAAAGCAAATTTCCTCGTAAGTTCCTCGAAAACTTACGAGGAAATACTTTCCTCGTAAGACCTTAGTAAATTTACGAGGAGATTACGAGGAAAAAGTACTTTTCCTCGT